GGTGATGACTCTTAAAACTAGCCGGAAACGTTTCTTCAGGTAAAAACTTCACATTAAGAAAAAAAAAAAAAAAAAGGAAGAAAATCCAAATAGCAGAGTGACAGTATTGTTGACTGAGCCACCAAACTGCTTACCCTCTGCAAGATGACAGGAAAACCTCATCTTAGAACTACTCTGAACTGGGGGTGGCAGGTGGTGTGGTGATTAAAGGTGTTGGACTCCCACATGGCTGACTGCTACCGGAGTCCCAGACCTGGTGGCTTGTTTTCTCACTTTCCCTTTCTTTCTCTGTCTCTTTCTGATCAAATTTAAAAAATAATAATAACAACAAATGAAGTTAAATAAATACATAGTTCTTATTAAAAAAAAAAAAAGAACTATTATGGACTGGAATTGTTGCCATCTCTAGCTGTCTTGACTCAGTAGGGGAGACGTGTGCGGTTGGTTTGCTGTTGTGTTGTTTACCAACTTAACCCGGGCTTTCATACTCTCTGTTGGTGGCCTGGGGAATACCATCCCCTACCTCTCTATGGATGAGAGCACAGATGTCTAACGGACACAGTGTAGGGCAGGAGTTAAGGTGTTAGCTTACATACTGGTGCGGCTGACTTGGAGAATACATCTTAGATCCAGGGCCAAAACAGATTTTCTATCCTCCCCGCATATCTAACTTCGGGAGTGAGGAGTCTGCACTGACTGGGGGTTCTGCTCTTGAAGGGATGTGAGGCAGACGACAGACAGAGCTACATGTTCACAGGCACTGCTGACACACTGAGTCTGCCTGGTAGAGAAATACGGAACAGATGACAAACTGTCACAGGAATCACCCATACTGGAGACGAGCCTCCGTGAGTTTCTAGAGAGCTGATGTTCCTATTCTAAGGGCTCACAGGATCCCTGGAAGAGGAAAAAGATGGTTCCTGAATGACGAGAAAGAGAGTTCTAATTACATCAGTAGTGGGAGGAGTTTACAGACGGGAAGGAAGTAAGAACTCCATGACCTGGCACAAAAGCCACACCATGAATTTCTGTTGAACGAATATAGTCACGCCAATAAACTCAAGAAAGGTTGCAGACATTCCTCTTTGCATTTTCTTCTCGTAAGTTTTTATATTTCTTCAGCCTATCCTCTTTGAGGAAAAGAATCCACTGTGTGTTTTTAAGATGTCACAGAAGTGACTGCTCAACTGCATGGAGACTAAGAGACTGCATTCATTCCTGGTTTAGGGGAACTCAGTGATGAGGTGAACACGACAGGGGGAACCTCACTGAGTCAGGGAAAGGAAATGAAAACTAGTTAGAAAAAGTGAATTCAGAAGGAAGTGAATACAGCTATCGTGACAAATGAAAACGTAGAAATATACTTTTATTGGGACCAGCAGTTAGCGTAATGGCTATGTCACTGAACTCCCATGTAGTTGACTGTGGTTCGAGTCCCAGACCCGGTGGCTTAAATTCATGCTGGGCGTGTGTGCATGCATGTCTAAGATCCCGAGAGGAAAATGGAGGAGTAGGGATTACGACGTAGCTATCCCCCTGGGGGGTGATTTCTCGCTTTCTATCTCTCTCTGTCTTTCTGGAGAGCACACGCGCCCTATAGCAAAAATCTCTCCAAAAAAAAAAAAAAAGAAATATACTTTTATTAAGAAGGAAAGGGCAACTAAGGAGAAGTTAGTGGCAGTAACTTGCTAATTAATACTGTTTTAATTCACTATATTTTGATATGTGAGGTGAGCTAAAAAGTGTTTAGTGATATGATTTTGAAAATAACTTTTAGAGAACAAGAAGAAATAAAGAAAGATGAAAAAAATTCAAGATAAGGCAACAAATACAGAAGCAAAGAACACCCAACGTGTATGTAACAGGAGTCTCCACAAAAGAACTCTGTCTCTCTCTGTGTCTCTGGTGAGTGCATATGCCCTATAGCAAAAATGTCTGTAAAAATAAACAAACAAAAACCCAAAGCAAGAAGACAGAACACTAAAAACTGTAATCAATAACATTTAACCGATTTTTGTTTAAGCTTGCCATTCATGTATGTAGGAAAATCAACTCGGAATGCTCAACATTCAGACACAGTCCAGTAAATTGCTGCGCTTAGAAAAAAAGCCCTTCGTATATACAGAAAAGATGACCATGTGATTATAACGAAAGTATTTATTACTGAAGTAATATATTTAAGAAACTCGAGGAAAGAAAACGTGAGCCAAACGTGTCATATGCAGTCAGTGACCTCTGGGTAGAAAGACAGAAAATGACCTGCCGCCACTGGGCAAACACTGAGGAGATGGGCACTGCTCCCTCACTCCCTCTTAAGGAAGCTACTAGAGAGGCAGCTTGGGACACACAGAACTGACGGGTAAGACATGACGCGCAGGCAGGTGGTCACTATCAGGTATCCATCTAAGGGCAGAGCTAGTGAGTACGGTCCACAACTCTGCTATCGCTGCCATGGTGAAATCTGGCTGTGACAGGATTAAGAGGGTGAAAACGTGATCCAACTACTGGACCGGGAGCGGGGCCTCTGATCGGGACACACCTGCCATCACAACCCTTGCCCTCTCGTCACCAGGCGGCGCTCTGTGCTGGCTCTGGATGCTGCACAGTCCCACCAGCAAGAAGGCCCTCCCCGGATGTGGCCCTTGGAACTCCGAACTGTGAGGTGAATAAACCGTTATTCCTTTAACTCACTTGGTTTCAAGTATTCAGTTATTAAGCAACAACAACAACAACAAAACAGATGAAACAAAGCTCTACAGGGAAATTTTTAAAATTTGGCCAGAAATTATGGTTTTCTTAACCTAAAAGAGCAACACAGAATCTTTTGGTAGAAGTTTTAAATTATATAAGCCTACCTGACTCAAAAACAAACAAACAAACAAACAAAAAACATTATAAAGCAGTTTACAAAGGCATACCAAGTAAAATGTATGTACATGTAAAACCCCCACACTCCCTGCTCTCTCACTAGGTTTTGCCATCTCTTGCCTTATTCTAGAAACCAGTTCTAGGGTTCAACCTCATCTGTTTTCACCTGCCTTCCACCCCGGCCACAGAGGAATTCAGAAATACCTACACTCTTTAAGAAAGAAGCCTGAGGTTCCCAAATGATTCCGCAAGAACTCCTTTCTATAAAGACCCTTGATAAGTCACCCCTTTGTCAAAAGAACATAATCTATCTAGTCTATCATTTCTGACCATGGCACCAAAAAGACATCCACACTGGAGGCCTAGATAGAAAACAAATATCCCCATGCACTACTTTCCGATTTGACCATTCTCTTCCCTAAGGTTCTAGTCTCTAAAACGACTCCTTTACACTGTACTCAGTCCATTTAATCACTGCTAAAACATGAATTTAGTCTAGTACCTATTACAGTTCTTTTGTAACCATACCAACCAAACCTTTCTTTCAACAAACCAAATCTCAACCTTTTTCTTCTCCCATAGTTTTCTTTAGTGATTTACTGTGGGGACACGTTTAAGAAAAAGTCTGAGGTGTGGGGACATGTGCTGAGCAAACAGCATATGCTCTTTTGGGGTTTGGCAGAACCCTGTAACTTGTCTTTCCCTGACCTTGGCTGCAGACAGAGCAAGGGTGGAAATTACTAGGGGCGTTCCAACAGACACATCTGATGGACTTCAAGAAACATCTTGACCCCAATTAGTAAAGTCCAATCCCTGCCCTGCATCTGAAAGGTTCTTTAGACTTCTCTGGGTGTGGTGGTGCACTCCTTATGGAGAAGTTCTTTAGCTCCTTCCCCACACCTAACAGCTAGTTCTCTGCATTAGAAAGGAAGATGAGATTTACTCTAGATGGGATTACCACCAAGGGATACACCTTGCCTTGGGTGTGACTAATCCCTTATAGATTTGTTAACGGCTTCTTATTGTCTGTAACCTGGCAACTAATCCATGAAGTGTCATGAAACATACATGTGTGATGTCTCCTTGTACTATAAATAAAGACGTCCAGTTCATCTGGGCGGCACAAGTTGCTTGGGCTACCTAGGCTCAGGCTGCCTGTGTCCATTTCTACTCTATCCCTTTGTCTTGTTCTTTCCAATTCCCAGGTCCTGGCAAGATGGAGGGCATTCTCTTTCTCGTCCTCTTTCTCTTCCTCAGCAGCAGCCCTCTGATGGTGATTCAGCCAGACCCAAGCCCTGGGGCAGACGCCGACAATTTACCCCCTTATGTTGGGTCGCCAGAAGTCCTGACACATCCTGCCTTTTCTGATGACCCACTCGATCCCTGTGACTGAGTTCTGGAGCTCTGGGGAAGCTCACGTGTCCTGATAGGGGAAAGAGCTTCCCTCACGGCGAGTATTCGCTCCCTCCCATTCCTTCTGAGGCTCCTACTCGCTCTCATCTCCCATCGCTGCTGGCCTAGCCAGTCCCGCTGTGTCTCTCACTTCTACTCCCTTCTAGCTGCCCATCCACCCAAACGCTAGAAACCAGGGCTGGATAGCTTTGGTGTCCAACCTTCGTGTTAGTTTTTCAACACTCGTCCTTAAAGAAGCTACCATTCCAGAAACTCCCCGAACACATCAGTTAAGCACAGCAACTTGTGACTGGACATTAACTAGCTTCTAATGTGAAAGTGTTCCCACTTCATCCTACAAATAGATAGACCTAAAAGTTGAAGTCTGAGGAAAATCATTAACATATAGAATGTCTGACATCTGGTTCATTTTAAAACACTTATTAGCTCAGCTGGCATGAAGTGAAAACAATGACCTCTGGTTTTAGGATGGGACGAAAAGTGACAAATTCTTTACATATCGGTACTCCTCTGAGAATAGCAACCCAATACATACCTTTGTAGAAATATGTTTCTTCTGGATTTATCCAAGTAACAGAGACTGGATCCACACTATTTTATTATTAAAAAAAAAAACTGAAACGTTCCTAACAGACATCACTGATTCCGTATGCCAAAAGGCGTAAGATTTAGCTAGACCATTTGCTAAAATTTTAAACTTAGTAAGAGGCTGTAGTTACCTCTTTTTGTAGATGAAGTTTGAAGCAACTGTTTGGCTTTGAGGGAAGTACGAGGCAAATTTTTCAGCCTTTGCGAAGCTGTTGAAAAATAAGGAACTGTGACATTTGCCTGGAAGAACAAGGTAAAGGCTGTAGCTTCTGTAAAGTTGAATATTTTAATACACACTTGAAAGTTGATCAAGGAACGGAAACTATAAAGTGCAAATGCGTTAGGACCCTGGAAGCAGAGGAATTGTAAAGTGACACTTAGTGCACTGAGATGCAAAGGAAGGGGACGGGAATCCGAGTGCACAGTGCGTACTTTCAGAAAGAGCTTCTCACGGGTGAAAACAGCTCCATATGTCAGCTGGTCAGAGTACCGAAAACACAAACCACCAGCGAACATGCACGGGTGCAAAGAATACAAAGGTAAAAGTGATGGACACGAGCCCACAGGACAGAATACATAAAGCAGCACTTAATGCAAAAAAGCAGATTTTGGCAAAGCAGTTACTGTTAGATGAAAACTGCCCTAGTACGAAACAATAATCCCCATACTCAAAAAGGAGAAGAAAACTCAGAACCAGGCAGTCCTCTGAAGTCGCAGTGGAGTGGCGGCAGTGTGTCTGATGCCATCTTGCTGCAGGATATACTAACCTGTGCCTCAAGCTTCGGTAGCACGGTAACTGGGCCGTGCATGCGTGGACAAGGGCATGGCCATGTGGGCATACTGGTGTGGGCTGAGCTGCTTGGAAGTTGGAGCATCTGCCTTTAAAGTGGTGGATGAGGAACGCTCAGCCCCTTCCAGACAATCTACCACCCTCACTGAGCTGGCAAATGAGAACTGCGTGGGGCGGTGGGGCAGTCCGAGCTAACGGGGCTCCTCCCCCTCCTCACAGTAACTGGAGCTCCAGCGGACTGGCGGGGGTGGGGTGGGGGGTGGGGGG